CAAACTGCAAACCCAGCGCGGGTGACATCCAGCAGGGCCAAGCCGGCCCCGGCCTGCCCAGGGGGCCTCGGTGCCAGCTGGAGGGGCTGGGTACTGCGCCCTGCTGGGCCAGCGCTCTGGGGGCGGGGTTCTGCTCCGCCCTCCCTCGGCGCGGGCACGCGGACAGGCAGGGTAGGGCTAGGGCCGGGCTCTTCTGGGCCAAGGATCAAGGCTCCCATGCCTTCCAGTCTTCCCGACTGGGACTCGGAACAGGGCGCAGTAGCACACAGCGAGGAACCGCACCACCTCGGCTGGAGATGGGACCTATCGTGACCCCGCCCAGGGCGGAGTTATCTGGATCTGAGACCCGCCCTCAACATTGAAGTCTCTGGGATGCAATAGTTCGGGGCGGAAGTTAGAAAGCCCCGAGAGCGAGGCGACGGAAGTGGCCCCTTTACTGTTTGTCCGTGCGCAGGCGTTATTCTATTCTCTTGCTGCTGCTCTTCAGGCGCTTCTTTTCCCTCTCTTCTCTCTTCTCCACGCGAGGGGGTGCGCGTACCCTTAGTCGTGGTCGCGCACTCAGCCCCTGTGCTACTCTCGTGGCACTTTCATCATGGCGGGCATCCTGTTTGAGGATATTTTTGATGTAAAAGACATTGACCCGGAGGGCAAGAAGTTTGACCGAGGTAAGATGTGCAGGGGCGGTTTGGGGTAAGGGGCTAACCTCGTGCTTGGAGTCACGCCCCTGGGCCCCAGGTCCACCCAGCTCACGTGGCCTGCCCTTACCGGCAGGTCTTGATGTAGAGACCTGCCTCAGGAAACGTTTTATGGATGATAAAACGGAGACTCTGGGCTCTCCCTGGGTTCGCAAATACCGTGCTCGGTGTCTGGGTGGCCTTTTCTCGTGGTGCTAGTAAACTGGGCTTCTTTCTAGTCGCTACCCACTCTGCGCTAGGAGCTGCAATATGCACCTTGCACGCTTCTTATTCCTTTCAAGAGTCTCCATGAGGTAGGTGGTGGCTTACCCATTTTGCTCCGAGAGGTTAAGTAACCCACCCAGGGCTGCACAGCAAGTAATCCCACTCTAGAACCTCTATGCTTGTATTGCTCTTAGGATCTTTAGCTCTTTGTGAAGTCGTCCCTGGGTTAGAGTTGACAGCTTGGAATAATAAAAAGAGTTGCTCTTTATTCTGTCGTTGACCAATAATTGTTTCTCTGTTTTTGCCTGGAGACTGAGATGTGCTTCAAGTCAACATTAGTTCTTACACTTCCTGAACCCCTCAGCACAGCGCCTGGCACAGAAAGACAAAACCTTTGAATGAATGAATAACTTGCCCAAAGTCAGGTTGTTTCTTAATTACCTAGGCAGGCCTAGAATCTGGATATTGTTGCCAGAGGACTTTTGATTCTTTTCTGGGGGTTCTGTCTACTTGCTATATTTTTCATTCCTTTTTCTCTTGCACATCTGGTTCTGATTGAGCCTGCACTTCTGTGAGGGCAGATGAGAGGCCAGTGGATGAAGGCCGGGTTGGATTTAATGTTCTATTGCATACAATCCCCCAAAGTGGGTCTGCAGGGTTGACACCAGCCAGGCATTTATCTCTGCCACTCTTTCTCTCCTTTCCTCCAGTGTCTCGACTGCATTGTGAGAGCGAATCTTTCAAGATGGACCTTATCTTAGATGTAAACATTCAGATTTACCCTGTAGACTTGGGTAAGTATTGAACACAGACAATAGCAGGAGGATTTTTTGCTGTTTCATCTGTTCTTCATCCTTAGAGATTTCCATTATTTTCAGGTGACAAGTTCCGGTTGGTCATAGCCAGTACCTTGTATGAAGATGGTACCCTGGATGATGGTGAATACAACCCCACAGATGACAGACCTTCCAGGTGAGGGAGTGGAGAACAGAATACTTGAAATATTCCTAAGGACTAAGTAGACAAGTGGCAATGAAAGACCCTTATTTAATTCAAGGAATAAATGATTATCAGCAGAATTTGAGGAACCTCAGTGAAATTGCTGCATTTAAAAATTCAAACAACCAGGTGTTTATCTGGAGCAGTGGTTGCTTGATTGTGAGTTGTATCTTCTTGATGGCTGAAGAAATGGCCACTGAGTGACCTTGGCTATGTGGGCCTTGCATCTTGGGAGGGAGTTTGGTTGATGGGAGTTTGGAGCCCCACTGAGTTCAGATCTCAGCCTTACCACTTATTTGTTGAATATCTTAACCTTTTTCAGCCTCAGTTTCCTCATCAGTAAAAGATAGATGGTCATATCAAGGTCACAGGGTTGCTGTGAGAATTAAATGACATTGAGTTTGGAAAATGCCTGTTATAATACTGGCACTTAGTTACCAGTTACCACTTTTAAAGGACCTCTTATTATTAACTGCTTTTAAGAATAACTACCACTGTTGTTCCACAGGGCTGACCAATTTGAGTATGTAATGTATGGGAAAGTGTACAGGATTGAGGGAGACGAAACTTCTACTGAAGCAGCAACACGTCTGTAAGTTCCTTTATCTTGTGAGAACCCTTTCTTCCTACCTTTTTCTGAGAATTTGGGCCATGCTCATGCTTCCTGTGTTGGAGCCCTCTCCCCAAGTGCCTCAGACCTAGGTGAGACCCAGAAACTTCTGGGAACAGTTTTCAGTCTGAAATGTAGCCTGCTTACTTTGCCCTTTGTCAGGGCCTCAGGGCCTGGTGGTCCACATGAGAAACTGGTAGTCTTGCTGTGTGCAGTATAAAAGAAGGTTGATTCCTCAGGATATAAATGCAGCATTGAGTAATAAAACTGCTAGGCTTTTTTGTTTTTGTTTATGTGTATGTGTGTGTTGCTACTCTGTAATCCAATCCCTAGTTCTTTGGTTTCCCTGCCCAGCTATTTTTTCTTTTCTTTAAAATCTTATTAAAACAATATGTTCCCTTTGAAAGAAATTTGAAAAGCAGAGAAGTAATGTGAAGAAGGAAAAAAAGTCACCTATAATTCCATACCCAGAGGGAATCTTTTACGTAAAGTTTTTGAACATTTTAGGTTTTTTCCTCTGTGTGCTTTTTTTCTTTGAGATCACGTGGTTTATTACACCGTTTTCTTCTGCTCCTTTTGTGTTTAATGTTATATAAAACACATTTCCCCATGTCACTTTAAAGCTTTTTATTTAAATGGGTATATCTTAATTGATTTAACCATTTCCCTTATTTTGGGCATGTAGTATTTTCTACCTTTGCTAATATAAAGCATGCTGCCTTGCATATATCTATGCATTCATGTTTGTCTGAATTTGGTTCCCAATGACAAAACATTAGAAAGGTGCCGCTTTTCCTTAGGCTGTGCTGGAGAGTCACTGAGTAGCATCTGCTCCAGAGCTCAGACTCATGAGACTGGACCTTCTGTTTCAGCTCTGCCTACGTCTCGTATGGGGGCCTGCTCATGAGGTTGCAGGGTGATGCCAATAACCTGCATGGATTTGAAGTGGATTCCAGAGTTTATCTGCTGATGAAGAAACTGGCCTTCTGAACCACCTGGGAAGCCAATCTTGCTGCTTAGTCACTTAGGTCATGGACATTCATTCAAGTCTGAGCAGCAGTTGCTGTTGTTCACCTGTCTAAGAGGGGCTGGATTTGTGTTGATTGTGCCGTGCATCTTTAGGTGGTGTCTGAACTCAATGGGAAGTTGACTTGCTTGTGAAAGACCCAGTGGGAGGGCTTAAAAGGAATAAGAAGTTGTTGTGTGTATATGATTTTTTAAATTAAACTTTACTTTCTCAGACTTTCTTCCCTTAAAATATATATTTTTTTCTGTTTACTTTAAAATCATTTTTTCCAATTTGTCTGTGGTATATTATGTTTCTGGCCCACAGCCATATGATCACATGTCAATGTAGGATCTATCCCAGCCTCTTGTATCTGGGTTCAGAGTTTCTCATTCTCCTGGCCGACTACCCCAACATCCTCCACTGTGATTTTCTATCTGGAGAGGGAGTGTCCTGCTTTTGGCTCCTGAGGGCACCCCAAGCCCGGAAGATACCACCCATTTGGCATAGAATTTTGAATTGGCAAGGAGTCCTGCTTGTTTCCTTCTAACACTTTCAGTCTCTTAGGAAGTCAGATCACATTGACTTGAATGAGTCACTTGCACAGCCTGGAAATATTTATCATTTTTATGGACGCTTTGGGTAGAGGCTTTTAGACAAATGCATGTGACACAACTATGAAGAGAACAGAAGAGCGGATTTGATGGTTATGGGAGTAGGTGGAGAAACTAGTTGTCTGCTCTACATTCTAGTGGTGACCTAGAGGGAAGAGGGTAAGTGGTGTTTCTTACCAGTGACACTGAACTTCACAGACTAGTGAAGTGGACAGGGCAGCAATACCAATGAGGTTGGCAGTCCAGTGCCAGTGCCTGGGACAATGCAGCAGTCTGACTGCGGTCACTAACTTAAAAGTGGGGGAGGAACACAATTGAGGAAATGATGATGCTTACAAGGACTCCAGCATTGGAGATGGCTCTTCAGCCTAGCATTCGAGGTCTCTGAGAAAGTATATGGGGCTCTGATTTCCCCTGGGAAATTCAGGGTACCTATCCAGAAAGATTGTGAGTGTGTATTAAGTAGCTAGCTGGCTCTTTTGATCTCCCATTTTGCTATGGGAGCTGGTCCCCTACTGAGATGCCTGGGGTATCTCCTTTCCCCATCATTTTCAGGTCTTTATGTGAGGTGTTAGAAATAGTATTTAGGGAAATGGGTTGAAAATGAATGGCCCCTGCAGGGGGTAGGAAAACGTGTTTCTTTTGACTTAGTATGGGGTGGGGAGGGTGGAGAGGGAAATTCTTTGTCTTTTGTCCCTTTGGCATATCTTGTCTTGGGTGCTACCTCTTTTTGTACCATAAAGTGTTTCATATGAGTATTAGATTTAATGTACTTTAGAATTTCAGTAAGTTAAAATTTCCACTTACCATTCCCTTGACTGCATGCTGGAATTTGTAGTGTGTATGAACTGATTCTTTCCCATGCAGGAACTGACACCATCTGAGATTTGGACAACATTTTTGAGCTTTGTGCATTTGTTGATTCCTTCTCCATGGCAACTCTTCAGTCCATGATGGAGAGAGGGACACCTGGAGATGTCTAAATTGGTCACTCTTACCAAGAGCTTTGATTTTTAACTCAGAACTCTAATTGTTGATGTATTAACTTCTTAAGGACTTGGAAATCTCTCCCAATCAATAGAATCACTGAATGATATACATACTGGACAGTGTACCACACTGGGGAGAGTATGGGCTCCAGACTAAGTCAGCCTAGGATATTTCTTCTTTTCCTGCTCACAGGCTGTAAAGCCATTGGGAACTTGCCTGGCTTCTCTGAGCCTCATCTGTAAAATAGAAATGATAATGCCTACTTTAAAGTGTGTGAGCCTTAAAAAAGTTAATGTATATAAGGTTTCTGGCGCACTCTGACTTTCATTCTGTTTTAGAATGCCTTTAGTAATCATGGAGTATTTGTGGCAGTGTTTGGAACTCTGGGTTCCTGGCTCCTGTACCTACATGGTAGCCTTTCCTCTCCTCTGGGGAGTTCGTGGGGAGGGAAGAGGAAATAGCTTCCATTAGTTTAACCTACATGAGCTTCTGGAGGTAAATGTTGACCTTTGCAGTGGAGTTTTTGTTTGGGGCAATATAAAACTTTCCCTAAGCACCATTGCAGCATTTATTGGCAAAGTCCTATAAGCCTGGCTTCTTTTCTGGAGATACCATAACAGAATTTAATGGTGGTAACACAAGGCCGCTTTTTCGATACTACTCACTTCTGGGAATTGGGAAATGAGCCTTCAACTTGTACTTGACTTGTACTTATCTGTCATGCTGTGTGAGCCCCAGGAGACCGACTCAAGCCACTTCCTGCACTTCCCCCTGACCTCCACAGGAGGGAGGCAGGAACCCATGCCTGGTGAAGCTTCCTGCGGAGCTACTGAGGCTCTGGCTGTTTGCTCAGCTGTTACATCCCTGTCTTGTCTTGACTGAACTGTCTGCACAGCCTTACCTGAGGTGTGAAGTTCTCCTAGGCTTCCTGTTAGCCTTTGTTTTTTTCTTTTCTTAGGGAGGGACAGATGTATTGCCCCCTGAGAAGAACATCTTTCTCTTCCTTTTCAGTTAGTTTTGGGTGCTCTCATTTATTCATTCTTTATTTATACAGCCTCAGTTTTATCTATTATGTAGGCACAGCCTTTCTGGGAGACAAATTCTTGTTCATTTCTCAAGAGTAAGGACCTCCTGAGGAAAGGACAGACAGAATACCACTGAAAATGATGGTAAATAGGTAAAGAGATTAACCTTAGTTCTGAGTAGAAAACCAAAGCTCGTTTTTCTGTTTTCTGATACAAGATTTGTTTCTACCTCTGTTCAGAGGCCAGGCCAGTCCAAGCCTTTGAGGATTTATCATGTGCAAAAGAGCATACAGAGAATTCGTGACTTATAAAGTGCAGAAAATAGACCAAAGATAACGAGTTGCTCTGGTGAATATTATTGATAGCTTAAAAAAATAGCTTCTGATGTTTTATACAGTGAAAAATGATCCTTTTTCTGTCCTATGTATCCACTTTTGCCAGGGCTTTGGGTTTCAGGTGAAAGCAGGAAACTTGGTATAATTGCAGTTGTTTCCCAGGGCCTCTCCTCCAAGGAAGGGAATTACATATGGGAGACAGTGCTGATGTTGGCAGTGCCTGAGTACCTTACTCTTCCTGAGACAGATTATGGAAGTGAGGGTGGGCTGCAATTAGAAGAGGACTGGTAATGTTGGGCATAATAGCAGAAGGGTCGGGAAGTGGGAGTTGAAGCTGGACCGTGGGGGTGGGCAAGGTGCGTGGAGGAGAGAAGAGTGTATATTGTCCAGTGGGTGGATGGGTTAGGGGAGGAGAATATCCAGGCCGGAGGTCGGGTGGCAGGGAGCCTGTGTCTGAAGTTCCTGGAGGAATATTCAAGGCTCCCAGGGCCCTGGGTGAGGGTCCAGGAAAGAGTCCATGAGTTCCATTCAAGGGTCGGTGTGTCCTGTTCAGGTCTCCAGGAATTTGCTCTAGAAACCTGGAAGTTTGGTTAAGCAGACCAGGAATTTTGGCTCTGAGTCCCTGCAGCCTCTTCAGAAGTCCAGAACCAGTAGCTCTGGCTGACACACTGGAGTTTGTCTCCAACAATCCAGAAGTCCTGTTTGGGAGCTTGTTCAGTGTGAGGAATAGAAAGGTACTGCTTGGGACAGCTGTGGTGAGTAGGGTGCGCTTGGCACAGATGGTGGGCCCTACTACATGCAGCAGGAAACGAACCTTTCCTCGGAGCAGTTGTTGGAAGCTCAGGAAGATGGCATTGGGGTCTCTGTGAGCTGTGGTCCTGCCCTGTGGAGGAAGCTGAGGGCAGAGGATGGGCCTGAGGCCAGAGACCTGGGCCATATTATCATTCCTCCCTCCTCTATGTGGGAAAATAGGGTACCAGTACCCAGGCTTTATAGTTGGGAGGGAGCATTCCTTGATAGGTCATCTCTTCTACCTCAAGATTCCTAGAATTTGTCTTTCTTCCCTCAAGTCTTCTAAGGAGACAGGAAGGAAGGAAAATTTCTATAGTTCCCTTGACTGGGGACTTACCTGGGTTCCAAGTAGACCCTGCAGGGCCCCAAGGAGGAGGCGGACCTGTCCAGAAAGCTGTCCCAGTAGGGATGAGAGGCAAGAGGGTCCCAGTTGTCCCCGTGCTGCCATCACTCCCTCTAGCAGAAGGGTCGTCGCTTCCAGAACATCTTGTGCCTTGGTCTGCTCCTGGGAAAGAGATGGAAGAGAGAAGCGGACTGCTTCAAAGGGCATGCTAATAGCGGGTGGGGAGCCTGTAGGAGTAGCCAGCAGAATGAATCATAAGAGCTGAGAACTGGACAGGACCAAGGTCCCACCCAGCACAGGAATTCCCTCACAGTCTCCCGACAATTGGTCATCAGCCTCTGCTTGAATAACTCCAGTGTCTGGTAACCCAGCCTGGTCTTACATTTAATTTCAGTCAGAAAAGCTGTTTTTTTTTTTTTTTTCTTACATTATATTGAAATCTGCCCTTTTATAGTTTTACCTTTTGGTTCTGCACATCTTTTTCTGCTACGAAATCTTAGGATCATATGATTTCCTTTTAACTTGACGTAGAGATAAAACCATAAAGAGCACAAAGATGACGGGAAGGGGCTTACTGATAAATGGCAGAGCTGGAACTACAAGGGCTTCCTAGCAACTGCCCTTCTTCCCTAGCCCAGTCTCCCTAGATGATCTGAGCGCAGAAAGGGATTCCAGGGATTCTGAAGGTAGAAGAGTTGACTTACCAAGGAGTGCTCCCTCCCTGTAGATTTCCTGAGTCTCAGACTAAAACACTTCATGCTATACCACAAGACTGCCACTTCCTCCAAGCTAATCAGGCCATTTCTCACATAACATGTTTCTAACCTCTCACTGTTCAGGCTACTTCCTCCTGGACACATGCTTAATAGGTCCCTCTGAATAAGTTAGCATGTTTCTGGAGGAGGATGTCTAGTACTCAGTCTAGTGTTTTTAAATGTACTCTATTCAGAATAGTTTTATAGGAATATTTCCACAATGTGGGTACTAAACATCTAAAGTGGCCTAGAGTCACTAGTATTTTAAATAGCTGCTTCGGTAATGTTACATGCTACGTTTGGGGTCAACACAACCCTCCCAGATCATTTCCATAGTAAATTCTAATGTTAGGGGTTTATATGAGGGAAGCAAGGGCATCGTGGCCTGAAAGCTGGGATAGGACTTTACTCAATTACTTTACACATTAGAATTTTTTATGTATTTCTGTTAAAATTTCACCATGTTTTGAACCTAGCCTTTCAGTGAATTGAATCTTAATTCTTTTGTATTTGCTGTGGTTCCCAGCTTTGTGTCATCTGGATGACAGATCAGTCTTCTTTATTCTAGCTTAAGAAGGTCGAATGGGAATAAGTCAAAGGCATGGCCCATAAGAAACTTCTAACTAGCTTTTCATGGTGTTCAGTAGATTCTAGAATCTACTTAGTGTACTGGGACTGCAAACCATCACCTTGTCCAGACGATATCATCATAGTACAATGTAGATTGGGTTAGGGTGGCCATGCTGAAGGTAAGATATTTTCAGGGAACTCAGGAATTTTGAAGAATCCATGGGAAGCAGTAGGAAACTGATGAAGACGGGACTTAGAGAAACCAAGGGAAGGTCTGGCTTTCTTACCGTCTGGGTTTTCCATTCTCCCAAGCTAAAATCCACAGCAGGCAGCAGGACAGGTGAGGACAAAGGGTTAACGTCTGGGCACTGGCTCTGTTGAAAAAGATTAGTAGGGGACTGGGAGAGAAGGGAGCTGAAACAGAAGGGGTATGGTGGCCCAAAGACCAGAATAGGTTTCTATGAGGAATATATCCAGACTAGAACTTTTAAAGGAGGGCTTGATTGCAAATCATAATCCGTCTCAAGGAGTGGGGATCAGGAGTGGTCTTATCAAAGATAATATTGGAAAAATAGTGATTGGATCAGGGAGCGAGAGGAAGTGATGTGAGTGAGGATATTGTACTAGTTAAATGGATAGAGGGAAGAGTGCTTTGGGATTCTCACCAGTCTGCCCTGAAGGACATGGGAATCACGAAGCAGTTTATTTAGGAGTCTTGGGTCACAGGCAGGAGGAGCCGGGCTGGACCAAGTTAGTCTTGTACTTAGGAGAAGCACGACCACGAGGAGCAGTTCTTAGATGAGGAGAGGTGAGGTCGAAAGGGATGGATAAGGAAGAAATCATTGTTGAGTGGTGGTCCAGGAATTCCTATTTAGGACCCAGATCTGAAATCCACGGAATCTGCCACTCAGATGCCTCATTCCTGGGAAACTGGGTTCCCGCAGCCCTCCCTTACTGTAGTACATCTCCTTTCTCTTTCTCCCTCTACTAAATTCTGATTTGGCCCTCAAGTGTCTTCTTACCAGTCAGCTCCATTCTGGCCAGGCTGTGTGGTTGGAATGGCTCCCTGTATGGGGCCTCTCCCCCGAATCCTTCCTGGGGCCATGGAGGCGGCTTGGGCTTGGGCTCTTGTACTTCTGGGCAGAGTAGGGTGGGGTACAGCACAGGTAGGCCAAGGAAGAGGGTCTGGAGTCTATCCTGCAAGTAACAGGAATAATGAACACTTAATCAAGTTTCAAGGAAGAGACTGGCTGGCTGGGGGAATAGATGCTGGGAGGGCTTGTGATGCTGACCAGCCTAGAACTGCTAAAGCTCTGACTTCTCCCATGTTTTCTTGTGATTGTAGCGTATGACGTCTCCTGTCAGGGTTCCTCAGTGAATTTCATATGGATTTGGTGCCCCTGTCCCCTGCCTAGGAGCAGCAGGACAGGATATGTACACACACACATTTTAATTGGCCCCAAATTCTGAGCAACCTTTATTGGTTGGTTGGGGAAAATCTGGAATGGGGATAGAGAATGCAAGTATTGTGGCACAAGCCTGGAGAAGAGAGGGAAAAACATGCATAGGGCCAGGATGAGGAACTAGCAAACATGTGTAATGTATTGAGAGGTAGCTTGGGAAATGGGGTTGAGGAGTGGGATTAGGCAAAAATTAAAAACAAAACAAAACAAAACTGGATTACTAGAGGTCAGGGATTAAAAGATT